CTCCCCGTGCTCTTCCGTTGCTCCATGCCTTCACGGCGAACTTCATGCCACTGCTGTTAACGGAATTGGAGCGGGACGTTGGCGGTCTTCGGGGAGCGGGGCTCAGGGACAGGGTTTTGTTGAGGTTTATTCGCATCCCTGCTTTTCTGGTATTTATATGTTTACACTGAGTTTTTTAAAAATAATTATATATAAAAATTTTAAAATGTAAAATTAATTGTCTATAACGGGAAAACAATTATAAAGAAAATTAATGTCACAATTATATACATTTTATAATAATAATCTATAAATTATTCTTAAAATATCTATTTTTTAAAATATTATTTTCAGGCAATAATTACAAATTTTTAATATATATATATATATATGAATTAGCCACTGTACCTTCGTCCACGCATGTCCAAACCAATCTAGACAAGCGTAATTCAATAACCAAGCTGTCTAAACAGCCCAATCTCAACCAAATTCAATCACAGCTCAAGTCAACTTCAACGTTTAAACTTAGGTGGCGCATAATATTTTGTAAAAATGTAATTACTCAAAAGGTAATATGAAAAAATATTATTGTAGAAAATGTGATTGTTAAAATTTAGAATGTAGTATAATTTATAAAATTTTTTTATATATAAAAATATAAAATTAAATAAACTTATATATTTTTTAATATAAATTTTTAACATTTCAATTGATTCTTTAATATAATAAATAGCATGACAAAAATAATATTAAAATATGTAAATTTATTAAATATTTATTTTTAATAAATTAATTAAATTTTAAAAAAATTAAATTAATTAATTTAAAGTAATTAATCAATTAATATTAATCACATATTTAAATAACCCATTATTTTTTAAATTAATTTATATGTTCTTTAGTTTAAATTTTATATATAATTTATCAACTGTACATTTATTTATTTTTTATTTTACTTAAAAAATAAAATTAATTTTTTTAACACATAAAACTCCACTTTCCCTTTTTTTTCTTTCTTTTCATTTTTCTTACCTTCCTCCTTGCATCCATCTTTTCTTTAAAAAAATTGAAAAGTAAAAGAAGAAAAAGAAGAAGTCGGGGATTATTTAAAAAAAAATTAATTTTCTCTCAATTAAGGGAAAGTAACATATTTCTCGTAAATTAAGAAAATGATATTCTCTTAATTGATTGTAAGGACTTTTTTTCTATAAACAAATTCTCTTCCATTATTACAAACCAAATATGACAAAGTCATTACAATGAAATATCTACAACTTTCCCTAAATCAAACGTCCTTTTAAACCTAAGCTGGTTCATTTTGGTAATACCCAAACATGCAACACAAGTGTGCATACAAATTTCGTGTAACAAATTAATATGAAATGATTCGAAGTCAAATCAAGGAATAACCCTCATATTCTTTTCTTCAGTGAATCTAGCTCAAAGGTTTGGAGAACTTGGTCTTGAATAAAATGGAATTGATCTCCTTCCTTGAGCTGGAACAAAATCAAAGAGCAATTTCTTGAAAAATCTGAAATTTCTTCATTTAAGATTCTGGAAAAAGTTTGGGTTTTCAAAATCTTTCTTCTATTTTTTTGAATTGTGTTTTAAAATTTTTGAAATTTTTTTTTTCTATTTTACAATTTTTCTTTCAATCTTCCTTTTGGATTTATAAGTTCCAACTGTGGAGAGATTTTGTTTCTTCACACCTCTGGATCATTTACTTTCTTAATTTTTCTTTATGCACAAAGTTTAATTTGGGTTAATTAAATAAGGACTACTCCATGTAATTTTTGATGAAAATTTAAGATTCCACAAACCAAGTTAAAATATTAACCCATGTTCTTCATTTTATTCTATTAATTTATTAGCTTTTTAAAAAATATGTATCCTAATAAAACATATGACAACTCTCTAACCTTACTCATTGATTGGTTTGCTGGTGTGGGGTATGAAGAATAAATATAATTAGACATATGGTGATATGGTATCCTAATTAGGTGGAGTTTAACCAATAAGGCCAAAGGGCTATGGGAGGGATTTTGGCTTTCAGACTGAGAACCAAAGAAACTAAAGGCTGAAACTACCAGAACTCCTTTTCAACATCAGCTACTGTACCTTGAAGCCAGCACATCCACCCCCTACTGTACCCATTAATTTATCTTGTAAACAGATCATGGTATCATCAACCCTTACAACCACTTCACAACTTCCATATAAGAAAATGAAGAAAAATTAATGGATTCAATTATTCAACCCCACATTAGCAGACCTACCAACCATGCAATTTTTAATTTAATCTGTATATACCAACACAAAACCCTTTAGTAATTAGCTTTCCTGTCTACATCATGCTCTTCAATCATCAATCAATCTCTCCTTTGCTTCAACTCTAAGATCAAGTCAAAGCAGCAACAGCAACAGCAATTACAATTAGTTTGCCCTTTTTCAAAGACTCAATGATTTGATGTCATGATGGCATTTGGGGGGTGGCTCCAAGCTCACCCAATTTACTTTGATCCCTTTGAAGAGGTAAACAAAATTTTACATTTTTTGGTTTATGACTTTAAGAAAAGCAACACAAAGTTCATAATTCCTTTGTCTCCTAGTCTCCTCCCCCAGGACCCCAACCATATCCTAAAGTATAACTTGAGGAAGGGGCAGCAGCATCGACATCATACCCCCGCTTCTCTCTGATCTCTTTCTCTTTCCGTTTCCCTGGAAAAGGAATTGAAGCAAGAACAATGAGGTCTAAACCTCAGTCTGCCTTGAACACCAAGCTCATCCTGATCTGTGCTTTCTTTCTTCTTTTCCTCCTCCTGGTGGTTATCACAAGCTCTACATTTTCCAAACAACAACCATCATCACCCATTTCAGAAGAAACCCACATATCAAACTCAACTACAGATCCCATTGAGGAGCCAAAACCAAGTGAATCAAAGCCAGAACCTTGCCCATTCACACCCCTGACGCCAACATGCACGAAAGCCCCACCGTCTCTAGCCAATGCTCTCGTCCACTATGCAACCACCAACATCACCCCACAACAGACCTTCAAGGAAATCTCAGTCTCAGCAAGGGTTTTAGAGAAGAAATCACCCTGCAACTTCTTGGTCTTCGGCTTAGGCCATGACAGCCTCATGTGGACAGCTCTTAACTACGGTGGGCGTACAGTTTTCCTGGAAGAAGACAAGGCATGGATCGAGCAGATCAAGCAAAAGCTTCCCACTTTGGAATCGTACCATGTTGAGTATGATACCAAAGTTCACCAGGCAGATGATCTGATGGAGACAGGAATGAAAGAGGAGTGCAAAGTTGTGAGTGACCCTAGATTTTCCAAGTGTCAGCTCGCTCTCAAAGGGTTTCCAAGTGACATTTATGACATAGAGTGGGATCTGATCATGGTGGATGCCCCCACTGGGTTCCATGATGAAGCCCCTGGGAGAATGAATGCTATCTACACCGCCGGGCTGATGGCTAGGAACAGAGAAGAAGGAGAGACAGATGTTTTTGTGCATGATGTGGATAGAGTTGTGGAAGATAAGTTCTCGAAAGCTTTTCTTTGTGAAGGATACCTGAGGGAACAACAGGGGAGGTTGAGGCATTTCACCATTCCTAGTCACAGAGTTCGCTCTGGTAGACCCTTCTGTCCCTAGTCTAATTTTGGAGAGCCCCAAGGAATTGGAAAGGATGCTTTCATTGTTATTATCAATTTTTTTTCCCTTTTTTCAATTAATCAGATTTATTCGAGAAATTTTCATTTTTAATGACTTTTCTTTTTTGGGATCTATGTTTATAAAATTATAGTAAATTTGGTTAATTTTTATTTGTTTTTCTCTTGATTTTTTATGCTAATATTTATGTATAAAACAATAAAATTAAGTACCCATTATTCATCTTTGTCCTTTTTCCTTTTAAATTTTTTATTCATGGTAATATTTATTTAATTTTGGATAAAATAATCAATTATCTTGGTTGGATGGGTTTTTGGTTCGCCAATAAGTCAATAACTATTACTTGTGCGAAATTCTTTAATACCATATTGATATTATTTGCTAAGCACATAAAGCCACGAAATCAAATAGAAATGAACTCTAATTTTATTTAACTAAATTTAACAAACCAAACTTACACAAAGGTGCAGACTTCATCGAGAAACTTCCATACATAGTCCTCATTCAGAAACTTCATCCCATAGTTTCAACTCGTAAAAATAATTCTTAATTAACACTTGTGTCTAATTAAATTAATTTAATATTACAATTAACATTAATTTATAAAAAATTATCTGTTTTGATTTATTGGTATTGTAATAATAACTAAAATAACGGGTTTTGGATATTAGCGATGTGGCAATGAGTACAATGAACTTTGTTTGAAGTGTGAGTAGATGTTATGATCTCAATAAGAAATCATGAATCTCACACATTTGAGAAGATGTCATAATTTTAAAAAAAAAATCATGAATTTCATATCGACTGTATAATATAGTAGAATATGATTGGATACTTAAAGATTCACATTAATTTTAATTTATAAGACAAAAATTGTGACAATTGATCAAAATAAATAATGTCATATAAGATTTTACAAGATTCAAAAGTAAGTTTGAATGGTTTTGATTTTGTGTAATGTTGCTTCGAGTTTAAATTGAATTTGTTTAAATTTTTGAATTTTTTAATCAAATTGAGTGATTTTGATTTGAAGAAAAGACGAATATTTAGTTTGGAATAAATTTTTTAACTTTAAAGCTATAATATTTAAAAAGTCTTTATATTATTTTAAAATAATTAAATAAATAAATATATTTTTATTATATTTAATTAATTTTTTATATTTTTATTTTAAATTAAATAAATTTTTATAACTAATAATTAACTAAATAAAATACTTATTATCATTTTATATCGCGTAATATTAACGTGATATATTAATATATTATAATAAATGATAATAGAATAAATTGATATATCATAATTGAAAATAATGTGATAAGATACTTTGATATGATAATATAATAATATAATATTTTTCATCATTTGAATTATGATTATTTAAATAATAAATAATATTTTAATTAAAGATAATTATTTCATTATTAATTTAACTTAAGATAAAAAATAAATGTAATAAAAAAATAAACATGGTACCGACTTTAAACGGAAGGCAGTATGAAGCTTGCATTTTTTCATTTTCAAAAATGGAAATTTGCATTGGCACCCAACTTCTATCAACCGTCAGATGTACAAGTGACGAATAGCAACCATTGGATGAAGATATAAACCTTCCACTATTCAGACCAATAATTCCCTCCCTTTCAACGCCGTTCCGATCTCTGCCAACGCCCATTCTCAGTCGTTCTAGCCCTTTCCATTTGATCGCCTTCGTTCTTCTCTAATGGCTGCTGCTCCGATCCCTCCAAATTAGCGCAAACCCGACCCGAAAATCCATTGAAGCAATCAGGTATAATTCTCCATTGTTTTCTTCTTTCCTTTTTCCTCAATACATACATACACACATACATACATTTATTGGGTTATTTCTTGAACATTGCTCTACTTTTTTTTTTTTTTTTGCCATTGAAGATTGCAGTAAGCAATTGTTATAACTTATATGCCCTTTAACTTGAGCAGGCATTGCTGCATTTCTATGTAAATGAATAGAACGAAGGGCTTGCGCTGCCTGTCCAGCGTTAATGGAACCAGTAGGGAGATATCTACATTAGGTGCATCATTACGTGATAATGTGAAGAAACATCTTTATGGTATTCTTGACCCGGCAAAGCCTTGCATTCCTCATGGTATTCGATCTCAAAGATGTTTGGGTCATGGTGGAATGGGTTCTCAAGAAAGTTTGATCCTGGGAAGAAATTTGTTTCGGAGATTGAACCTACCTTGCTCTTTTCGAGGAAGTTCTCCTTGGTTAAAGCAAACTGGTGCAACAAATTGCCATTATGGAAACATTGCTAACGATGAATCTCATTTGAGTAGAGATTTTCTTGCACAGCTTTGGGTTGCAGAGAGAAAGATGCTTAAGGATGTCCAAAAGAGGAGAAGAAGAAAAGTTAAGCACCCGAATTATGTTAGGGATCAGGCATCTTTCCAACATCCATTTGAAAAATGCTTTTCAGGCAGCACTGTTACAAAAGAAGAATCTAATGATCGAGCAGGACCAGTTTTCGAGCAACCACCAGTTAGCCAATCAGTCTCAGGTCTTCTACAGCCAACATCGCCAGAGGAGGTAAATTTGGTCATTCTTTTTTCTTGGATTGGGTGAAGAGGGATTTGATTCCTGCTCTTGAAGCAGGAAAACATTATTCACCTACCATTGAGCCAAATTCTTAAATGCTTAATCTGTTCATTCTTTATTCTGTTGAATTGGTTTTCTTAAAACGATGCCCTTAGGTATATATTTCCTTTATCTACTTGATTATCTTTCTTAACCATAATTTAAACTCTGCAAGGTGCATGAATATCTTTTGTGTTTTCTGGTGCTTGTGCAAATGAAATGATGTACATTCTAGGGTTATATTTAATTTGTAATTTTGTGCAAAAGGAAAGCAATTCCATCAGTAAAATAAATGGAGAAAAATGTTAAGAGGAGGTAAAAGATGTAGGATTTTCTCCTCTGCTATCAACAGATGTATGATGGATTTGGAGAAGTCTGTCTACTTATGGTTTTAGCATGTGGAAGTGGATTAGGAAGCTATTCTCGTTCCTTTTGATGTGGGGAGTAGGCTCAGTTGGCTTGATGCTTTTGCTATTTGCCTTTTGCATTTTTTGTTTAGCAAAAAATGAATAGGAAGGAAAAGGCAAAATATAGAAATGAATAGAAACTAAAGGCAAATAGCAAAAGCATCAATTCTGCAGAGCCCAAGTTCTCTTTCTTTTTGGCATGACAGTTGATGTGGCTGTGTACCTTTGCTGGATCTGTTTTTGTTGGATGGAGACAAAGAGTCCCTTGCAAATGTTTTTGGCTCCATTTCCGATGGGAGATCGACTTGGAGTTTAATTTTCTGGGACAATTTTCCACCAGACATGCTCTGCTCTAAAGAAGATAGCACTAGATGGAAACTTAGTAGGAGAGGATGTTTCGGGTGAAGTCCTAAAGTTATTAGTGAAGAAAGCTTAGGTGAAATAACAAAAAGTTTTCCTTTGAAAGCCTTGTGTAAAAAGCTTCGACTAAGGTTGTCTTCTTTACTTGGGATGCATCTTGGCAAAGAATTTTAACCAGTGACGTACTCGAAAAAAGAGGACTAATCCTTCCAATAGAGGCTTTTTTCCAAGGCAGCAACTTCAATGGTTCATTGAAATAACCTAACTTTTTTGCTGGCTAGTGATGATATCTTTTTTGTGTGTTTTCTTTGGCTCAATTCATATGCTTTGCTGTTTGAGTTTGCAACTTCTGGTTCCAAATTTGATAAATAAGAAGGAAAAAAGTAGAGGTGATCTGTGACTCAATTTCAGTTTACTGTTTTGGCCTAGTGAGGAGGTTGGCTTGCTTTTCTGATTTTGTTTTTGTTTTTTTTTTCAGAACCAATCCAAAATTGAAACTCTAATATCATCCATAACTCTGGAAAAATAAAAATAGGTTAAACCCCTAATGTAGTGATGTTATTGCAAGCCCTATCACCCTTGTCCCCATTTTAGACCATTTTTGGTTCCATCCCTGTGTTTAAAATTTTGAGCAATTTGCATCTTGAACACTTGGATATGCACAACAGACGATCTCTACCTTTAAGCCTAAGCAACATTGGTTCTAACAGCTTGAATGCAGGGTACTTTGTGCTTGTGAACAATGGTTGTGTTGCCAAATTCTTGTGATTCTTTATTGTTATAATCCAAATGTCCCAGTGGTAATAGACAACTCATTGGAACAATGACAAAGGTTTAGGTGTCAGTCAAGTTTGGTTTCTTATTTGTGTGCTTATGTATGTATTTATTGTGTTTTGAAATATTTATAAAAAAACTAAATCTTATACCAAATTGATATAAGTAAGCAGGTTAGAGTTGTAATGTTATTTATTTAATTCTTTTGCATTTTGCAATGCTATTTTTAGAGGTTTTACTACTTCCACATTCGCCTTATATCATGGCCAGTGTTAAAATGTAACAAAGTAATTGATTAGTGTGTTGTTTCTTAAATTGTTCAGGCTCAAATTGCAACTCTTCTTGCTAGGTCCAATTTGCTAATCACAAGGGATATTGAGTGGGCAAATCTTGTACTTGGTTTTGAGCAGGTAATTATTCTTTTTTCTATTTATTCTCCTATTAGTTGGTTTCTTCATAATATATATTAAAGCTGAACTTTTGCATGGCATGAGCATCTAGGATATGGACAGCTGCTTATTAACTGTTTCTTATAGTAAGATGATTTATAATTTGACATGCTTCCATGAATGCTGATAATTTAGCTTGTAATGCTTGTTTGCTCTGTATTGATGGCAACTAAAGAAGTTTTCAAATGCTGATTAAAAGGAAACAGGTTATATTTCTTATCTTCTGGTTGAGATGGGTTTTAGATATTATATTGTTGATGATTTTACATATATGACTTTTCTTTTCTGATGTAGTTTAACAACCATACCTCACACAGACAGTTCGTAGTTCCAAATGCTGCATGGAATTCTTCTTTCGGGTATGTCAGGAGGACTGATGTTGGAGAAGGGAGGGAGAAAGGGAGAAACTAGGGATTAAAGAGGAAATCGGGGCAAAATTGGAATAATCAAAAGAAAGTAAAGAGGAATTATTTATGGAAGATAGGGATAGGACCAAGAGATGAAACCTTAATTCTCAGATATCAATAAAATTAGAAATCCATAATCCACAATCCAAAAGGACCTGGATACTGCTGTATCATAGGCAGTTGTAGGCTATATTCTAATCTGATTGTGAATGCCAAATCCTAAGTAGAACTGTCAAATACCCTAAATACTAGAAATTAAAATACAGAACATAAAATATAACAAACTTTGTTTCTAAAGTCATAAATAAGTTGATTCTTCAATCAACTTTGTTTTTGTCTTGCGTTTTCTGAAAACATATTTCCTTGGTAGCAGTGATGACGTCAATTGGATTTTGTTTGCCTCATCCTGAAATAGGCTAGGTATAATGAAGACAATGCAAAAACTGTCACCAATTACCACATTATTGTAGTCCTTGTTTTCTTGGAGAGTTTAGTCTCTCAATCTATAAACTCATTTTACATATTTTCAGTATTCTCTGCTTCCTAACCTAGTTGTTGCTTGTCTAACTTTGCATAGAGATCATGTTGCACTAGCTCATAGCAGTGTTTTGCTTATTCAGCTTTTGATCCTTCTTCAATGTAGCTGTGTTCATCAACACCAATAATAAAGAATATTTGTGTATGACTTCTAATATCTTCATTTGTGAATTGCAACATCAATATAAATTGGATCCTTGTTTCCAAGCTTGTTTGATGGACACCATTAGGACCATGAAGTTAAAAACGAAAAAAAAATATTTACATTTGTCTCAGTTTATGATACATCTATTCTAATCTCCTATTTTAAAGTGTTTTTTCTACTTTAAAGTATGTGATTTTCAAGATCATGGTACTTGCAAAATACCAAAAGATGAAGATTCTTAAGGCCTTACGTATTTCTCTAAGAAATTGATTTATCCAAATTCTCAGTGGCTTCATTGATATGATCTTATAAATTCTAATTTGTTCCAAAGTGATATGTAAAATATTTCTTAACTTGATCATAAACATATGATCTTTAAAGGCTAAATTTCACAAAATGGACTTAAAAAGTGGAATTAGAATGTCAAAATAAGGAGATAGGCTGTCTGTCTGAAAATGCTGACACAGTGTTGACCTGGTAGGTTGCTGACTTGGTAGATGGTGTTGGTTAGATGATGCCACATCAATCGAACAGAAGGAATATGTAGTGAGTGTCTAGTGTGTGGCTAGACGATCTGAGACTTTCCTGATGAGATTCATTGATTAATAGATTGATGACTAGCGAACAGATCTATGGTAGGGGTTTTTTTGCTGGTGATCATAAAGCAGCTAATCTGAATTTCCCAGGTTACCTTTTGGCATCTGATCCTGGTGACAATAGTTTTTCAGTTGGATCATTGTAAATTGAAATTTTTGACTTTTACTAGCAAATGATTTTTTTTTTGAAGGTTTAGGCTTTTTTCTTTTTTTCTCCCAGCACAGTTTTAGTTGGAGTGGGTTCCAGGAACAATGATCAGAAAAAGGTAGGTTGCTGGAAAAAATTTGCAAATTCGACAATTCATTGAGAAGCTAGATTAGATTGCTTTAATACCAAATTGGTGTGAAACAGGAGTGGGAAAGGGGGTGAAAATAAAGATTGAAGAGAAATAGAGGGAAATGGGAAATAATCAGATTAAAGTTATGGAGAGAGTGAGTAGGAATTGAGGAAGGACATGATAGAACTAAGAGGAGATATCTTAATAATTAATGTTCAAATCTCTTAAATCTCAATAACCCATAAAATCAAATAAAAACTTAAATGTCCTAGGCTCTTGTAGGCATTGTCGTTTAAACCCTAATAAAAATTCAAAATACCAAATATAACTCTAAAATACCCTAAATACTGGAAATTACACTAGAACTTAGTAAATAACAAAGTGCTAAATAATTTAATTTTCAATAAACTTCTTTTTGTCCTGCATAAGAACCATGTCGAATTTTGAAATATTTCCACTTGGTATAGTATTACAGCTTGGTGCTTGAGTCTGGATTTTGCAGTTGGCTAGGTTGGTTTTTTCTTACCCATGGTCATTTTCTCCCTCTATAATAATTTTTTTGTTGAGTTTTAATGCCATAGATTGCAATTTGCATAATCCTGCATTTTTCGTACATTTGTTTGTTTTCTATTGGGTTGTTGCGTTAAAATTCTCAGTTGAGTGCTTCATGCCAGTAGTAGTCATTCAGCTCTTGTCTATCATGGAAGATGCGGTTGGATAATCTGATGTTAGAAATTCATTTTTTGTTATCTCTTGTATCTTTTGTGAGCATGAATTCCTCATCTTCTTCATTTCTTTTTGGTTCGTCTTCTGCCTTTTACTTCTTGACTTTGTTCTCTAATTATTTTTGTTGGAGTTGCAGGAGAACCGTTATGCGATAGTAGATGTGTGCTATCCCCAGTCAGTAAGTTCCTATTCTAAGATCCCTTTCTACCGTGTTTTGCATAAAGAATTAAGTTTTTAGCAAAATGACAAAATATTGTGCACCTTAAATTCTTCTAAAACTCCTGATTGTAAGCCTTATTTTTGCAGCCTGTTGGCTTTATTCGTGAACAGAGTAATGTCATTGCAAGACAGGTGACGTACTTAACTCCATATATCTTAATCTCTGATGATTTTGTTTGCTATTACAATATTCAACATGGGTTCATCTGGCATTAAATTTGCTTCATTTCATATTCATATTCTGATCCAGTTTGCTGGAAACCATTTGCAAGCTCAGACAAATTTCCCTGTCCTATTGTTTCTGGCACATGCTTCCATTGTATTGTTTCATCATGCTCTTTTTCTGTGAATTCTGCAATCATCTGGTATATTGCTGTTCACAGTACTTGTACATTCATTTCATTCATGATTAGTCACAACAACTTCTTCTAGTACCTTTCTCTTGAAGCAATGAAGATGGATTATATGATGTTTGATCAAATTCTCAAATTATTTGTCTACATGTGAATGGGTTTTCTTAATGGTCTGATTTTCATTCTTTGTCGTTATTTATACCCTCTTTGTTGTCTGAATTATATAAATGGCATGAAGAAAAAAGCTTTATTCAAAATTAAGAGATCAAAATAGCTTCAAAATGGCATAGAATATTCAGAGGACCTGCCTTCATCATAAGCGTTTTTGGATTAAGGTGATTTTTGCAATTTACTCTCAAAGATGTCTTCTCCTCTGAGTTCATTTATTTTGGTATCAGAATTGTTAAGAGTGGTGCTTTATTGCGTTGCTTGATTTAAGTAGTTGTTATTCTTTTCTTAACATATGTGTTCTGCATATTGTTGATTGCTATGCCTTTGTGCAGTTGCTTCGCTCAAGGCGCCCTTTTGTTGCTTCAATCACTGATGCCATGGGTAATGAGCTGTTTATGGTAAGGGGATTATGTGCATTTGCTTTTGAGCTATGGAATAAGATGTCAGGTCCTTAAATATTGATCATATTGCCATTTCAGCTTTAAGGCTTTTGTTTTACCACCTTCAGGTGCGTAGGCCATTTTGGTGGATAACCAGCTCAATTTATGCAGAAATTGATGGTAAGGTATGCAAATTTACTATATCTGCATTTTTTTCTAATGTGTATATGAATTTTAGCATACGTCTAGTTCAAGGATTTAAAATATGTTATTCCTCTCTAGGAAGTTGGTGTGGTTCACAGAAGGTGGCATCTTTGGAGGAGGGTGTACGATTTATACTTGGGGTAATCTCAACAAACCAATTTGATTGTTATATTTAATAGTTGTTAAATGCTATCAAGTGTTAGTTTGTTTACCATTATCAGATTGTTTTAGTTCAAAACTCAGTGGTTGGATTTGGAATGCTTCTAGTTAATCCTGTCAAAGCAGTATATGAAGTTGGTGATAAAAGTTGATATAAGTTTACTGATAAATATTGGGTGGTTAGATACTCTTTCCAGTCAAAGTTGCATTTTAATTGATTTTGTTAAACGTGAATGTGATTACTCAAATGCTACCAAATCTGACCTATCCAAAAAATGTCATGTCTACTTTAGAAAGTAATGGATGGACTCCTTGTTTGTAAGCATTGATTACCTTCAGTCCTTATGTTGGATTTGTGTATCTTCTTTGGTATATGGATCCTTATATAATTATAGTTAAGTTTTAAACACCCAAAAAAGACAAAATTAAAGCCACCTTACAACGTGGGTAGTATATGAGCTTAGTGCTAACTTTGACCAAACTAGGTGGCACCTGCTATTCTGAAAATTTTCTTACAAGTTATATTTCCTATGTCTTTACATCTCAACCTTGTAGGAAAAGCAATAATTTGACATCTCTGAAATTTAGAGGTGTATAATATTTGATTGTGGAGTGTAGCCTTTTCCTGTGCTTATTTTAGATGCATGATTTTGGTCTATTGTGATTACTGATGTACATAACTTGTAGTCATTACTTCCAAGCGCATTATAGCATGAGATTAACCACTTACCATAGGGTTTGCACACAGTATCCTTGGGTTTGTCTTAGATATTGGGATATTGTTGAAATTTGACTTAGTAGGCTCGGATATGGGACTACTTATAGGACTCTTCTCTTTAACCTTGTTTTCCTTTTAAATGCTTGAGTACTTCTTTGACATATAACACTGTCTCATACCTTTAGAAACAATGCCAAATATAATAATCAACCTTAGCATATAATGCCAATTTATTATAGGATGAGTTGTCATTGCGTCATTCACCGCATTAATTGTACATACCAACTTATAAATAGGTGTTACCTAACTTCATTCAAGACATTATACTTGCTTTGCTTCTTTATTTGGAAAAGGTTGAGTGAAGTCTCTATTTTACATATATGATTGCTATTGTTGTTAGAACAGCTTTCTGCAGTATCATCAGTGTTTGTATGATGTCTAAAAGTTAGACGTGACAATGGGGCAGGTCAGGTCGGGTTTGGGCTGGATCATTAGATCAAGAGAATTCAGGTCATTTTTAGGTTTGGGTCACTTCGAGTTCAAGTTATTTTAGATTCAGGTCATTTGGGGTTGATCAAGTTCAAGTTGATGACTTCAAAGTCAAATTGGGTTGGATTCTGACAGATTACTTAGGTTGAATGAAATTTTATCAACCTTAATTAAGTAATTAAAGATTACATTTCCATGTTGTGATATATATTCAATTCTGATTTTTAATATCATAAAATAACTTTTCTAAAAAAATCTTTAATATGAAAGGATAATAACAACTATATTATAACTCTTTTACTAATTTTATTTTTTTTTAATATAAGATATTACAATTTGGTTTCTCAATGAATCATTAATAATTTTTGATTAATTGATATTTAATTTTCATTTTTTATTGTATTGATTATGATTATTGATTTACCATGAATTTCAATTATAACATACAAGGTCAACAATATATAACATCTACTAAAGGTGAAATAAAGTCATATGTTTAAGAGTAGGTATCCAATTAGCTTTATTGTTAAGTATTTTACTAGTTTATGGATTTTTTTTTTAAAACTTATTTTCTAATCTATTTTCATTATTTCTTTTATTAGTTCGTGAGAATGGAAAATAAAGGACAAATAGAAATGAAATATCTTATGTATGGTATGATTGCAAAAATATGCATTTAATTATAATAATGGAAATAATTTATTTTTTACTCTTTTTTTTATGACAACAAGAGTATAGAAACAAATCAAAGTCATACAAAAGTTAGAAATTGAAGAGTAGAGAAAGGAGATTTTATATATTTTTATTATCTTCTTAAATTACTCATAGATTAATAGTTGTTATAGTTATAATTGTTAATTAAACTAATATTTAAAAGATAAGTATTAATTCAAATTAATATTTAAATAACAAAAAATAAAAATGATATTAAATTTAAGTTCGAGCATTTCAGTTAGTCTTTTGGGTTGTTTGGGTTTGAGTCAATTCTAGTTTAGGTTGGATGGGTTTGGTTGTTGAGTGTTTCTGATGGAATCGGATTGGGTAAGATATGAATTCAAGCAAGTTTGGCGGGTATTTCAGGTATGGGTCAGTTTTGCTACCTTTACTAAAAGTTTCTTTACTAAAAGTTAACACTAGCATTATAGAGTTTTCATAGAGCCCACAAAAGTCTTCTTTTAAATTAGGTGAGACATCAAAGACTTTTGTTACACCGTTTAACTTGAGGGGAAGGTATAGAAATGAAAGGGGATGGAGAGGAGTAACCCCTCATTATTTGGTGGGACAGTATTCCTCATTAACTTTTTTTTAATTGTACAGATAATATTGTCCTTTAATTGGAAAAGAACTTTAGTTATTGTTTCCTCTTTGTTCCATTTCTTGACCAAACATCAAGCAAACAAGGTGTCTAAAGCAGTCATTTCTTTGCTTTCCCTATTTTTCTTCTGTTTTTAATCCATCCAAACAAGGGAAACTTTTCCTCTCATTCTTACTCTTCTCCTTTTCTTGCATTTCCACTCATTCCTATTCCTTGCTTTTTCCCAATAGCACAGTATGTTAGCCTACAATAGTTTGGAAAGGAGTATCGAGTTCTTTATTACAGTATGGATGTGTATACAATCCTCCTGCTCACCTTTCTATCACTCCTCCCCCTTTTTCCCTTTAGAAAGGGTATGTTCTATCCTCACTTTTTCATTACTTCCTGGTAATGATTTTTTTTTTCAATTATTTTTAAAAGAGAACTTGATTTTATAAGGGATATGAATTTGAATCCATTGAACCTTTTTTTTGCCTCTTTAGATCTTAAAAGTTACATGAAAAGAAATTTCTTCTGGCCTTTCAAAAAAAAAGGACAAGAAATTTCTTCTGTATATATTAGTGTTATTGAGCTACAGTTACTTTGACAATTCCATATGCATTCAAGAATGCTGTTTAGATTTCTAATCAAGGCTAGTGACCATGTATTTTGTTTTATTAATTTTATTTTGCAATTGAATGTAGCATTAAAATCTGAGATTTCTTCTTTCATAGGAATAAGCAATTTGCTGTGGTTGAAAATCCTGGCCTTTGGAATTGGACTTTCACTTTGAAGGACATTGATGGAGAAGTTCTGGCAGAAATAGATCGCAACTGGAGGGGTTTCGGCTTTGAGGTTTTCTCCTTTCTTTCAAAAATATCATTCCATTAATCCTCAGTTTGATTCACGGACCAAGCACTGTTTTCACAGTAAATATTGCTTTTAAATTTTTGTGGGAAATTCTGTGATTCGCTTAATCCGTCATAGTCTCTGAATTATACTGTGCACACACTGTGTAACTTTTGTGTACTTGAAATGAAAGACCTGACTTTGTTCTATCTCAAGAGTTTCCTTAGGAATCAAGCATTGTAATCAGCAGAGCCCTTATTAGGAGCAAAGTGGAGGATTTGGGATTGAAGAAGTTGGCAGATCTCCATGTTTGCTGTAGGAGCTTCTTTTCTAAGATTTTATCTCATGCAAGTCAAACCGTGTATTCCAGATGATGGAGGGCAATCAAGTAGTCCAGGATTTTTTAAATTTGATCCCATGCATCCAAGTGAGCAAAGGAGTCGAGCCAGAAAAAGTAGGAGAAAAATGGGGATTAATCATTGAAGAGATCTTGTTTTAAAAGGGAGACAAGGGGAGGTTGTGAGTTGTGTTAATAATCCTAGCAAGCTTGGATGCTGTTTGGTTCAACTTGCTTTCCCCATTTTAGAAATTAATAGTGTGGTTCATACTTGTTGCTATAGAGTGAAGTTGTTATGACAGAAGTGCATTCTCTTTATGCAAATAGTGAATGGGGGCTGAAAATGTTCAATGGAAGGAAGAAAAGTAGAAAATCTCAGCATATCAATCGGTATTACTTAGTTTTTGGAAAATTAAAGCAATAGAGTGTGGCTCTTTGTAATATATTTGGGCTGGGGTTGGGTCTATACCAGGATTATAGGTTCTAATTTCTTGTTGCATAATTCAAATATGTGATGCTACAGTTTGATATGTCATGGACCGGTTTATGCTGACCTATGCTATTGTTTTCTAGCTAAGTTTCAGTTAGTTACATGAGATAAAATTTGTTAGTTTCACTTATGCGTATCAAACTCACAAAGGAATTTTTGTATGTGTAGATCTTCACTGATGCTGGTCAGTATGTTATCCGCTTTGGGTGTGCTGATCCCATCTCAAAGGCTGGCCCAGCTAGCATGGTAAATTACTTCATTAGAGATTGAAACTTACCAGTTTTCAGTCTTATTTTGTTCATATGTGTATTGATTTGTTGCAGATCCAAGAGTTGGATGTAATCCGTCCACTGACTCTATCAGAGCGAGCTGTTACTGTTGCTCTTGCTATTTCATTGGATAATGATTACTTCTCAAGGCATGGTGGCTGGTAAGAATATTTATAGAAGTGATCAATATTTTTTCACGAAAGCAAGGGAGCATTTAGTTTTAGTTTTACACGTCCATGCCATAGTTTGTGGTTGATTGTTGCCTTGCTGTCAATAGTCAGTTGCACCCCATAATTCTTCCAATTAAGAGCGGAATGGGTGGGATGTCAGCAAAGGTTCATGTTCTTTGATGGACAATTACTTTAATACTGGCATTTATAGTTGTTTTCTTTCATACATTCAAAATTCGGATTAATGCTGATTGTCTGAGTATTAGCTATGAATCAGGATAAACCACTAGAAAGCTAAAGATTGATTACTGATTATGCCTTTATTTGCTTCTCTATCAGGGGAGTCCCTCTTTTCGTTGTTGAGGACTAGGTCTCTCTGAGCATTTCGAGCATAGTTTCTCTTGCGAAAAACTCCATGAGAGTAAGAATTTGGCAAAAAAGCAACTTGTATGCAGAAGGTAGTCACAGCAAAGATGTACATTTTTCTGTTTGCTGTATTCACTCTGTAATATAAACCAATGACTACCTCATGAATGGCCCATTTTCATGGCAATCTTTATATGTTAGTGGCATTGGTGCCATTGCTACCTAGTAAGAACGTACTTGTGAGCTTATGGTTATGATTTAGATTAATAAATTGTTTCCTATGATGAAATCTAATGGTTGCAAAATTCATGAATCAAATTTGTATTCAAAAGTATACGGATTTGATTGAACTTGAAAAATAATAATTTATTTTAATTTTTTGGAATCCTACTATGGCTAAAAGAAAAATATATAATTCTCCACAATAGGAGAAAATAGATTTGAGGAATGTATATGTATTTTATTTGTTCAATGTTTTTTTTTCTCTTAAAATAATCTGCTCGTTAGAAGGAGTTTAAATTTGGAAACGAAGAATTCTCAAATTAAATTGAATTGAGTTAGAATTTTGTAATATTTGGTTCAAGTGTTTTATAAGTTTTATTGAATTTTTGAATATTATAAATATAATATAAATTTTATTTATATATTTTAAAATTTATTTGGTGAGTTTTGAAATTTTTTAAATAAATTAATAATTATTGGGAAGTAATTATATTAATAAAAGAGGGGAGTAGAAACTGAGAATGAATGACAAACCATATATATATAATCAAAGAAAAGTTACATCATTAATTTAATCTTTGAGTAAGGCTTTGCCTTCCACTCTATGCTATGAAATATGCTACACTTAGCCCATTAGCTCCAGCAGACCAGTCGCCCATGCTGCTGTCCGGTAAAGAGGGAGCGCAATGGTCAAGTAAGGTATAAGGTTGAGGATTAGAATAAGAGAGTTCTGAATCAAAGCCCAATGCTGAAGTAGACCTTGCTTCTGCCGGTGCCGTGAAAGAATGCCGCATGTACATGTCTTCCATCACATAGTTGTCGCTAAATCTCATCATTTCTTCTTGCTGCTGGTATTCTTGAGCATCGGTGGCCTCCAGCAGCTCATCCAAATTTTGGTCTTCAAAGCCTTCAAGCACCCATTCTTGTTCAAGTTTTTCAGCTGTCAGTCCTTCCTGATCATCCAATGCTTCGTCTGATGCTAAAGTAGATACCGGTGTTGCTGCAGCCGTGAAACAAGTTTGCGTGTCCTGGACTGAATTGCTGAACCTCATCCTCTTCTGTTGCGTCTCATCCTCTTCAGTTTCAGGGCCTCTTTTGGTGTGTTGGTTATTTATGCAAGCATTGGTGGCTTGAACCTGCTCACTCATCAGAGTTTGGTCTTGCCCAATGCATTCTTCAGGCTCCTCTATCATGGCTTCATTTCCTTCAACATGATCATATCCAACTTGTTCAGCAGTGGATTCAGTGGCAGTTTTGTTTCTGATTGCGCAAAGGACATAATCACTCTACAAGAGAAAGAAATATAAATGGTTAACAGTAGTGTTGGGGTTTGCATAAATATAGTCATCCTCGTACAAAAGCATGCAATGGAGGTGATAAGATAGGTAGGAAACTTACTTGGGTAAGAAGAGAATACTCGTGCATGAGCCAATGCCCTTTGACATTGTTGGCACCGTCCCCTTTAACTTCAAACACAAAAAGCTTCTTGAACCCTATATGATTACCGTCAGAATCCTTGACTGGATCGGTTCTTTGCCCTTTCCAAGTCCCACGACCAGCCGTTCGTTCAATCCTTTTTCCCTTACCCTTGTTCTTGAGCTTGGTGAAGACGTAGAACTTTCTGGGTGAGGTCATGTTAAAAATCTTCCAGGGCTCCTTGTCTTGGTGGCCGTAGATTTCGCAATCGGTGACGGCTTCAGAAGGTAAAGGCTCTCCTTTGACCTTGTTGGAGAGGTAATGGAGAATGAGCTCGTCATCGGTTGGAGCAAAGCGATAACCAGGTGGAACCCATGTGAAGGTTGAATGATCGAAATAGAGGTAGTGGAGGTGGTCATGGGTTGGAGAAAGTAGAAGCTCTGGCATGGCTGATTGATGGAAAGAGTGATCAAGTTGAAGCTGTGTGGTCATTGAGTGAGTGTGAGAAGAACAAGATTGCCTGTTTCTCTCTCTTCAACCTTCGAACTTTGACTTGAGGAATGTGAAATCTAATATATATAGGTTTCTCCACAAGTTTCCTGTTTCTCTTCAAACTATGAATTCAAATGTATTTGACTTTTTTTTTAAAATTCAAATGTATTTGACTTTATTAATGATTAAGCCAAATATATTAATTCATCAAAATTAAGGTTCACTTTTTATTTTTAAAAATCAGAAAAATTAAAGGAAAGTGAAATATATAATTTTAATAATTGCAAGACAAAAATCAGGACACTTCTATATATATATATATATATATATATATTATATAATATATATAATATTAGAATAGTAATAAAAGAAAATGAGATAAACCCTAAAAATATTAAAACACGAGAAATTACACTCGTCTGTTGCCTGGCAATATATTTAGTAGGTTTATTTTAACTGATAATTGGGGGTCTGAGAAAAATAGTAAATGTAATAAATATGATGAGACAGATAGATAGATGAGGTTGCTTTTATGAATGCATTTTTTTTTTCTCATTGGAATAATAAAGCAGGCATGGACATGGTTCCCCATCTGAGCCAGTAAACATGCGCAGCAGCAACACAATCTATTTTAGCATCTGGCTTATTGGAACAAGCTGAGGTAATTGCTAATTCTTCTGTGTATGTATCAAGCTGTATGTATTGGAGTCAAAAGGAGAATAATATAAGTTAATATATATATATATATGTATGTAGCATGATTTAAATGAAATTGTCCATTGTTAGTCGATATTCAAATTCATGTAACCTCTTTGTTTGTGTGCAGCATGCAGCTGTTTTCCTCTCTTATTTGCTTTAATCCATTCAAAGTTTTATTATATTAATAAGATTCTTTCTAGCGAAGCAGGACACATTCTAAACTAAACTCATTTCATAGTTTGATTAGAAAGACATGAGAACGTGCTCATTACCATAACCTTGGGACTTATTTTTATATATATTGAATTTGAATACTTTATTACATAAGTGAGAGTTTAAGGATTATTGGTAAAAAGCTTTAAACTTTGTAAGTGAGAGTTTAGAAGATTGTTACATGTTTATCAAGGTATAGTTATAAGAATTAATAATTCATATGGTAACTTTCTTTCAGCAAAGGCGTAAATAACTTTATTAATTAAATATTATATATATATATATATATTATATCTCGAGAACAAAAGATTTTTAAAACTTTATCACATAATGGTCTTAATTTACATCATGTTTGAGACTTAAGAGAGAAGGAAAGTTATCTTATATATATATTGTGGGTAGAGTTTTAAACTTCACAAATGAGCTTAGAGGGTTAACACATATTCATTAAAGTATAATTATGAGAATTACTGAATTAATGATAATAATCTATAGAATAATAATATTATTTTTGTGTTTATATTTTATTCTAAAGAGAGATGAAGATAGTTTTCTTGGAAGGGAAAGAAGCTTACAGAAAAAATAGCAATAATTACTCCTAGATTTGTAATGTATAAATGAGTAAATTATCTCTTGAATTACTTAATTTTTCAAGAATTTATACTTTGGTCACTCAAAATTTGAATTTATATTTTAAATTAAATAAAAATATATGTATTAACATATATATATATATACTTTTCTTTTATAAGTAGTATTTAATGTAAACAAAATAAATTTCCAGTTTAAATAGTTGCATAAATATTTATATTTATATTTTTTTTTTGAAAAAATTGTTAACAAATAATAGTCTTTATTAAATATTTTTGTGATTGTAGGTATAAATAAGGTTTTTTTGGAATTGAAACTATTGGGTAAAATTGTGAATAACCCATACATTTATTAGCAAGATAATAAATTAATTAATTTTATCATAGATTAGCCAATTAATAATAAGTGACATCGAATTCAAAATTTAAAAAATATGTTTTTCTGTTCGATTTACTTAGTCATCTTGCTAAGGTATACTATTAATTAAGAAAATCAAAATGTACAAACCACCTTGAACTTGACAAGTAAAGAATTTTATTTTACTTCATTTGCTTTTCAAGAAAAATAAAAAAAGAATTTTTTTTTGTTTTAATCTTTTATTTAAAACATTTACATCCAAACAAGCAAAGGATTAATTAGAAAAAAAGTAATTATTTGAATAGTAACTTTCATTTTGGTTAAGGCATAAATAACTTTTAGAATTTGTTGTTACTTGTACATCGTAAAGAAAGGAATTTAAACACCTTAGTACATAAGGGTCTAAACTTAATTGTGTTTTAAAAACTAAATTCTTTAATTAAAGAACTATATCAACATTAAGGATTTATTTAGTTTTTGGAGAAAGAGAGGATATTGCACCTCCTTGCAAGACCAGGCCAAATAAGTCAATGAGCAGCTAATACATTTTTACTTCATTTATTCCCTAAATAAACACTTGCTGCCATTAACATAAGATCCATCCTTATGTTGCATCAAGACTTCACACTTTAAGACTCACGCCCTTGGTCACCAATAGGTCCTTTTTAAGAAAAAACCAACTCTAACTCTTAAAAATTCCATTATTTGTACCTACATTTTATGTTTCTTATGTTTATTCATTTCAAATTTATTTTGATATTTAAATCTTTCTCAAATTTCCTAACCCTTTTGGTAGAATTTAAGAGAATTTTCTCACCTAAAAATATTGGGCAAGACCAATCGGTGCAACCTTCGAACCTGTTTTGTCTCTCTTCAACCTTCGAACTTTGACTTGAGGAACGTCTAATCTAATATACATAGGTTTCTCAACAAGTTTCCTTCTTGTCTTCAATCTATTAATTCAAATATAGTTTGACTTTATTAATGATCAAGTCAAATATATTAGTTCATTTTCCATTTTTAGAAATCAGAAAAATTAAAGGAAAGTGAAATATATAGTTAATACTTGCAAGACAAAAATCAAGACAATTGTCTATATATATATATATATATATATATAATTAGAATGGTAAGATAAATAAGAGATAATATCTAAAAAAATTCAAATAATTATTTTATGAATTAAATATTTTTCCAACATCCATATATATAAATAAATATAGTATTTTTGTAGTATGAGAAATCCTCCGGATTGGGTTTGGCATCTCCTCCTGTATATAAACATTACTAAAAAAATCCGGCTTGCCTAATTCCCTTATTCTAATTACCAAAACTAGTTGGAAATGTGCTTAATTTATTAACTCTCTGACTCCCCTCCCCTTCCTTAATGTCTAAGGATTGCTAAATGCCCAAAACATTAGTACGATATTCTCCCAATGCCCAAATGGGGAAAATGTTTCGATATGCAGCATATGTGATCATACAATTCTTGTTGAACACTCCCATAATTTCCTGCCAAGGATCAACAGTTCCCAATTCATCAAATGC